CAAAAGCTCACTAGTCATCAGGATGAGACATTTTTCAGGGAGCTCCTCTCTGGGGAACAAGCCCAAATGGGAGCCGGCTAGATTTAAAAAAATCTGTAATTCTCAGAAATCTTATTCATTATTAACAGAGCATTTCATAATACTGATGAGAATGTCAGAATTCAAATGCTTTAACTGTAAGATCACAAAAATATTTAACCTGAGTTAAATTTATCTTGATGTGCCTTTGGAGCTGCTCTTTGTTCCTTTCTCAAAGCAGTTAAAGTTGCAAACAAATCCATCTTGTTTTATTGTCAGCAGCATCTATTCTGCTTAGCAGGCACTTAGGTGAATTTATTAACAAACCTATTTTTAACCCACGAATACATAAATCTGTTGAAAGCAGCATCTTGATAAAAGCTCAGAAATCAAGAGGAAAAAACAGCAAAAAAAAAAGACTAAGAGCGAAAAGCTACATGCCAGGGATTCCCAGGAGGGGACAGGGTTCCTTTACATGTCATTTTTCATCGAATAAATCCACAAAATCCAAGTGAAGGCAACTGGTCCACAGGGCACCAGAGCTGTGCACGTCAGCAGGGCAGGAGGATTTCCACAGCTCACTGCTTTCCCTCTAAGCTGCTTTTCCAACATACCTGTGTCCCTGCTCAGGATGATCCCCTGACAATCCAGCAGGGAACAGAGTGTAGATCATCATGTGAACAACAAGTGTGGCCCCATTTCACCAGGGGGGGAGTGACAGCACTTCCATGGGAAGATGCCACACGGAAAACAGCCTTTCCTTTCCTTCCCTCGGGAGACTGCTGCTCGTGGCAGAAAGTGCTGCTTGGGTGAGCTTTGCAGAGTGGCAAGAAACGTCTGCAGGTCTGTTCTGCAAGATTTTGGTAAGACTGGTGGAGATTTTCCCATGTTCTGCTACATTCCAGCAGCAAAGCTCCCGAGCCCACGCCAGCGGGGCCGTGAGGTGCAAAGTTCCCCCGGAGCAGCACACGGTTCTCTGACCAGTTTTCTTTTCAGTAGCAGATTTTTGAACATTAACAGTTGGCTACTCTTACACAGCGAGAGCCAAAAAATCCTGGAAGCTGTTCAGGGGTTACAGCCAGGTCAGGATTTTCACCAGCCAGCCTGTTTTACATGGAGAGGATTCTGTGGCATCCAAGAGAAAGGGCTGACTTGCTCCTGCCTCTCCTCTTGGCTCCCCTCCTGCCCCCTTCCCCGCTGCATTTCTTTTATAAATAAGAAATATCTGAATGTAAAGATCTGGATTTTGTAACTTTTTTTTCAGACTGAGCTTCCCTTTACCGTGGAGGATCAAAAATTTCAAAGTAAGTCTGTTCTAACCCAAGTGATGCATTCATTAAAGCCATGAAATAGTCCCTGCACTGTGCAGATCAGAGGCAGGACACACTTGTTCTCTAATAACTGAAATTATGTAAGAGGTGACATAGAAATGGACAGGAATAACTCCAAGAGGACAAGTCATCAGAGAAAACCTGACTGGTTAAAACTTAGTCTTTACTATATCCAGATTACAACATCCAAACTCTGTCCACCTTGGTGGATAGTTAAGCTCTTAACACAGTTAATTTGGGGTCTGAAGAGCCATACACTGAATTAACTTTTACAAACTAATGCTGTATCTAGCAATAGAGACATGTAAAGTGAGTTTAACATGTACAGAATTTCTTAGGATGGCCCCCAGGGTGACTCCTGGGGTTGGTCCTGTGCAGAGCCAGGAGCTGGACTTGATGATCCTTGTGGGTCCCTCCCAACTCAGGGGATTCTATGACTCTAAAAACATTTCACACAGAGAGAAGCAATTATGCCTAACAGTGTAAGGATGGACTTCCTGCCTTGATTAGCTGCTTTCTGTCCTTTGACAACTCTCAAATGTTTTGCAAATAGCACATTCACCTTCTGGGACACGTTAACAGCCTCAGTGGTTTTAAAACATGAAATCTGGTGGTGACTCAGCACTGTGAGATTTGGGGGTGATGCTCGTGGCAGTTCAGGACTGACAGGTGGCAAAGATCATGACAATGCCCCCAAAGCCATATCTTTTATCAAAATGAGTAAGAAATACATTGGAGCTGCCTCTCACCAAAATACACCTTCCTGGAGCCAATGGCTAATAGTTGAAATCCCTGATCTGGGAGAAACAGGAGGGACCATGACTCAGGAAACACAAAACACCAAAAGAAATAGCTGCTCTTCTTCTACACAGAAAATTGGCACAAAGCCACCAGTAGTTTGGACAAGGAAATCTCCAACAGACTGGAGGTACCACGTGAAGCTGCTCCAACCAAAACCCCTTTATCACAGTCATCCTCTCAGAGAACATGGGAAAGGGAGAGACACACGAGATCTGTACCCAACAAATGAGGAATGAACCTGAATGACCCCAGACCCTCCAGAAGCCATGGAGCTGATGTGCTCCCAAATGGAAGAGCAGAGCACGAGGTGGGTTTTGCTTCCCACAGGTGGACAATTTGTCTCCTCTACAGCGCAAATAATTCCAGGGAATTGCTGTCATGCAGGGAGCACCTTTCACACCTGTGCACACCCAATTCCCATCCCAGTGGGAGGGTAATGGCCAAACTGCACCCACCTCCCACAGGGAACAGCCTCCCCTGAGCTGACACCTGCAGGACACAGTGGGGGGTGCACAAAATCAGGTTTTGTGGAAAACCTCCCGATTTTTTCGCTGCTGGAAAGCCTGGCTGGAGAAGACCATTTTCCACCCAATTTGTTACAGCTGTTCAGCTTCTGTCAAACGCCAGGATAAGGTGTTGAAAATGTTATTGTCAAAATAGAGGGGGAGAGGAAACAAGGGAGGAAAGAAGCCCTTGTCTTCCTTTGAGTGCAAACACTGGCAGAAGAAAGCCTTGCTTTCTGAAAGCCTTGAAAAGTGCTTCCCCTACTGCACACCAGCTCATTTTTACACAACTTTTCCATCTGGGATGCATTAACACAGCCTTTGGGATAAGCCACCTTCTATTATTTCCAAAGTTTCCATGGGAAAATCTAAGTTCCCCACAGGAAAACCTCTAAGAGCGAATCTTCCTCGTGAAAGGCGAAACAAAATGTATCAGATTTAAAAATTAATTCCTACAGACCTACTGAAGAGAGGGCAGGGCTGGGAGTCAGAGCAAAAGGATTCAACACCTCACCATGTCAGCAACTGGGATGGTGCTGATGCTTCTCTGCCACCCAGGTGAAGCACAAAGGCCACCCAGAAGCCCCTCTGGCTTTCACATGGACAAACAAGTCCAGATGAAACCAAACTGCAGCACTCAGTGGTTTCACTGCCTCAGGTTGGCACCTGCCAACCCCCCTCGAGGCCGGTCCAGCCCAACACCAACACCAGCACCCACAGACCTCGTCAGGAAGAGCAGCTGGAAAAGCAGAGAACACACTTCCTTTTTTTTTGCCAGTTCTGCTGCTCCACTTGAGGCTTTGCTCAGGTCTCAGACCCAAGTGACAGCTGAGCCAGAGGCTGGACCCAGTGGGGCTCCAACACCCACATCTACTCACCGTGGTGCTCCAGCCCAGCCCGGCCTTGCGGGGCGGCTGCGGGAGAAGGTGCAGCTCTGACGGTGGGACACGGTGAGCAGAGAACTGAGGGGGTGGGATCCTGCAGTGACTCTTCCCAGGATTCATTAACCTACTTTGGCAGCAGCTCAGAATAACTCACCCATTTGCATTTTAAGATCACGCAGGCAGAAGTGCTGCAAGGGTTGCTGTGGCATCCAGGAGCTGAACTGAGCCCAGATTTCCTGATCAGCCAAGCAAAATATTAATCACTAGTGCAACAAACCTCCCAAAATTATCAACCTGCCTTTCTTCTTCTTCTTTTTTTAAACACTACATAAACTGCTGGCAAAGTAAAATCTTCTTAAGCTGGAGAAACACTCAACATACAACACACGGCAAGGACAACCAAGCGAGGACCATCCTGCCTGGTGTCACACAGACATCAACGTTCTCCCATTGTGCCTTTCCAGTTATTGAACAGAAATTAATCTGTGCAGGTTATTTTCTCCAGATTCCTTACACTTACAACCTACAGATCACCCAAGGGAAAAACCTGCTAGAGCACCTGGTTATTTGTGCTGATTTAACCCAGCTCTGCCCAAGGCATCCTCTTTCAACATATAAAAGATCCAAAAGTAAATTAATTAATGCAAAGTTATCAACCTCCTACCTCACAGTTTTCACCAACTGCTATGCAGGGGTCCAGTTCACCTTGGTCACTGCAGTTATAACTTGAATAATGCAAAACCAACCCCCTAATTAGCAAATACAGGGGTATTACCTAAATAATATCTATTAGCTAACAAGAGTGCTGCATCCAGCTCTGGGGTCCCAGCATAGGAAGGATGTGGATCTGCTGGAGTGTGTCCAGAGGAGGCCATGGAGATGCTGAGGGGGCTGGAGCTCCTCTGCTCTAGAGACAGGCTGGGAGAGCTGGGACTGTTTGGCTGGAGAAAGGAAGGCTCCAGGGAGACCTTAAAGCTCTTTCCAGGGCCTAAAGGGGCTCCAGGAGAGCTGGAGAGGGACTGGGGACAAGGGCCTGGAGGGACAGGACAAGAGGGAATGGCTTCCCACTGACAGACAGCAGGGTTAGATGGGATACTGTGGAGAAACTGTTCTCTGTGAGGGGCTGGAATGGAACTCCCAGAGAAGCTGTGGCTGCCCCATCCCTGGAAGTGTCCAAGGCCAGGTTGGACAGGGCTTGGAGCAACTCGGGCTAGCGGAAGTTCAGAAGGTTCTGTGGAAGCCCCTGGAACTGAACGATCTTGAAGATCCCCCCCCAAACCCAAACCTTCCTGGGATTCCACGGCTGCAACCCAACCCCGTCAGCCCATCCCAGCCCATCCCAACCCCGTCAGCCCATCCCAGCCCATCGCAGCCCACCCCAGCCCATCCCAACCCCATCAGCCCATCCCAGCCCATCCCGCGGGGCCGAGCGGCGCACGGGCAGGGCTAGGCCGGGCACTCACCGATGATGCCGCTGTCCCGGCTCTCCAGGGTGGAGGTGGGGCTGGTGACGGCTCCGTAGGTGCAGTCCTTGGCCGTGACACTGGTGCTGACGGGAGGGAGGGTGGAGCAGGGGCTGCTGGCGGGCGGCGAGGCCGTGCTGCTGGTCAGGGTGGAGCAGGGACTGATGCGCTGCGTCACCGCCGAGCTCTGCAAGGGAGGGGACACGTCACTCCCACAGCCAGGCGCTGTCAGGGGTCCTTCATGGCTCACACTGGGCTTGCTTCGGGTGGGAAAGGCAAAAAGTGCTTTATTGTCCAAAATGGGGCCACCCCCCACCTGTGGCAAACAGACACTGGGCTCGTTTTCTCCTTCAGAGATCCCAACTTCCACGTTCAACAGGAACCACGGAAAACATAAACAGTGGGATTCACCACTTGATTCCATACTTGATCAGGAATTTTTTAATCCAAAGTTTTTAAAAAAAAAGGCAAAATCCATGCTAGAGAGCTACATTCTGAGCCTCTGTTGGAAGAGGAGATCTCTGGGTGGGAAGTACACGATGGGATTTCACCTTTAAAAGATCATACCCAGGAAATCCCACAAAGACCTCTGGGCTGTTTCCATCTGCTCAGAACCCTCCATGGGGCTGCAGGTTTTATTGTGCTTTAAGATTTTTCCTCCATTCAAGGAAAACAACAGAGGTTTTACACCCTGGCAGAGATGAAGCTTGAGACCCCTTTTCCAGATAAAAGACTGCCCTTCCCTGCCCAGACTCGCTTTTGCCACCAGATAAAAGTTTAAAATAAAAAACTCATAATAGGGAAAACGTTGCTCTATCAGTGATGAAATTTCCCCTTGTATCCAACCTGAACCTCCCCTGGCTCAGCTGGAGGCTGTTTCCCCTTACCCTGTCCCTTGTTCCCTGGGAGAAGAGGCCGACCCTGATGGATACTGAAGGGAGATTATAAATTATTAAAGGTAGAACAAAACAAAAAAAAGCAGGAGTGCAAAGAAGATGCTGTTTTGAAAGTTGTTTTGGAAAGACCCTACAGATACTGTGTGCAAGGAACCTGGAGGACTTTGTCCACCTGATGCTGTGCAGGGAGATTGATTTATTGAGAAAACAAAATCATTCTTGAATTCAAACTGATATAAGACAAAGCCCTTGTTTCAACCACAGGCTACCAGATACAGAAGTAAGCATTAAAAAACAGGGCTCTGAGCATGTGATCCTCCCCTAAATTTATCTTTTGGGTTCTGCAGAGGGAGGTGGCCCCTTGTCCCCCTTGCTCAGGAGACACTGCAGAGCATGGTCAGTTCTCCTGCAGTGCTGCTGTTGTTGGCTTGGTGGACAACACTTCATTCGTTGTTAAATGATCCTGGTCCCAAGGAAGGAACAGCAGAGGTTCATTTCCCATTTGGAATTTTACTAAAAGAGATTTCTTTTATTCTGTGTGAATAAGATTTTTTTATTCTGTGTGAATAAGATTTCTTTTATTCTGTGTGAACACTTCCCTAATAATTGTATGGATTTGTATTCCCTTTTACGTGGTATATCAACCCAAGGTGACCACAGAGAGCACGTGCAAACTGCAGAAGGGGCTTGACACCTAATTTTATTTCCTCCTCGCTTTTCCATATTTGAAGCTTAAAAAAACGTCCAGGATGGACTTTTGCAAGTAGAACACGGGAAAGATTTACTGTTTACTAAATTAGAAGGCAGCTACTGTGTGTAGCTACCAGGAAGAATCTCACTTTATCTAACAGGAGTTGTAAAAATCCTCACTCAGAGTGTGACCACCCCAGTGCCGGAGGCAACAGGAGCATCCCTGGCAGTGGGGGACGGGGCAGCCCCTCAGCCCAGGGAGAGGGGAATCGATGCCAACTCAATTACAGAATATCCCAAACATGGATCAGCACATCAGCAGGACAGGGACACAGTGCAAATGTCACAGCTCTGCCCGAGGGGTTGGGTGTCAACACAGAGATCCCAACGCGGCGGAAAACGAACCAGGTGGGGGTTTCCAGGAGAATTTATAACCCCTCCATATCCATTGGGGTCGGCCTCTTCTCCCAGGGAACAAGGGACAGGATGAGGGGAAACGGCCTCAAGCTGAGCCAAGGGAGGGTCAGGTTGGATATTAGGGAAAACTTCATCACAGGAAGAGTGGTCAGGCATTGGAAGGGGCTGCTCAGCGCAGGAACAATTCCATCCTTGGAATTATTCAAACAACAAGCAGATGTGGCACTCTGTGACAGGGTCTAGTGGCATGGTGGGATTCAGTCGAAGGTTGGACTTGATCATCTTGGAGGTCTTTTCCAGGTTTAATGATCCTGTGATTCTAAAACCCCCCAGAACAGGATGGCTGCCAACACACCATCACCCCTCCAACCCCTCGGGAGAGGCAAACCAGCGCTCTGCCCTCCCCATCCCATCTGCAGAGCCACTACTAGATCCCAGTTATTGTTATTTTCCATTCCTTCACGTTCTTGGCACCTACCAACACCCTTCCTTTTCCTTCCAGCAGCTGCAGGCAAGCCGAGTGCTCTGGGAATTCTGGCTCCCTGCATGTTCTGCTTTCACACATTTGTTACATCACCCATCACGAGCCTTCTCTCCCCACAAACCTTCTCCATCTCCTCACACTGCAATCCCTCAGATGTCTGAACACCCTCCTGATTTTTCTAAATCTGCTTTTAATTCTGCAGCATTATCTCTGTTCATTCTAGTGGCCAAATTAAAAGCTACTTGTGTGTCAGTATTCAATGCAAATACTGCAGTGGTTTTTTCCCTTTAAAACTCCTGGGGTTCATTATTATTCTTAATCTCACCTGACACAGGGCTCTTTTTGGCTCTCTGCTCTGGGCCACACAGATGCTTTCACTGAGCTACCCAGCACAGTGGGACTCCCTTCTGATGCATCACAGCTGATGAGCCTCCCTCAGCACCTGAGCTATTAAAGCAGCTTTTCCCAATATTTTCTTGAACTCACTGATAGTCCAATGAACTGCATCAAGCTTAAGGCAATATAATTTGGGAGGTTTGGAGAAGGAAGGCCAAGGGCACCCCGGGCTGTGCTGGCAGGGGAAGAGGGTGATGCTTCTCCTTGCTCAGCCGCGCTGGGACCACACTTGGAAGCTGCACCCAGGCCTGGGCTCCCCAGTACAAGAGGACACTGGACCTCAGGGGAGCCTGAAGGACTGGAGCATCTGACACAGGAGATACAGAGATAACCAAAACCCAACTGCTTTTTATAACAGAATCACAGAATCACGGAATGGTTTGGATTGGAAGGGACCTTAAAGCCCATCCAGCTCCATACCCCTGCCATGGGCAGGGACACCTTCCACCAGCCCAGGTTGTTCTAAGCCCTGTCCAACCTGGCCTTGGACACTTCCAGGGATGGAGCAGCCACAGCTTCTCTGGGCAACCTGTGCCAGGGCCTCCCCACCCTCACAGCCAGGAATTCCTTCCCAACATCCAATCTAAACCTACTCTCTTTCAGTTTGAAGCCATTCCCCCTTGTCCTATCACTCCAGTTCCTCATGAAGAGTCCCTCTCTGGCTTCCCTGTAGCCCCTTCAGACTGGAAGGTGCTGTGAGGTCTCCACACAACCTTCTCTTCTCCAGACTGAACAGCCCTATTTCTCCAGCCTGGCTTCAGTTCCCCTTATCAACTTTGTGGCCTCCTCTGGAATTGCTCCCAAGTTCCATGTCCTTCTTATGTTGGGGCACCAAAACTGTGCTTGGTATTCCAGGTGGGGAATAATCCAAGACAACCTTGGTATTCCAGGTGGGGAATAATCCAAGCCAATCTGAGCTGACCCTGCCTCAAGAAGGAAGGTTGGATTAGATGATCTCCAGAGGTGCCTTCCAACCTCAAACTACAGCATCCATCAGCTCACATGTGGGACCTTCCAGAACATGAAGCATTATGGCTGTTATAAATTCCTTAGGGTGAAGCTTTTCTGTGTCTTTGTTTTAACTGTCATTTTAAACAAATCCCCACCGAAACTTATCTCGGTACAAAATAACATCCACTAACTTTAAATCACAGAAAACATTGCACTTTAAAGCAAATTAAAATTCAGTGCAAGGATGGTACACTCATCTTCCCTCCAGCTGATAACACTATTGTTTCATGAAATGCCAGAAGTGATATAAGCTCCTTTATTTGCAGTGTTATCAATGCAGCTCCTGAAGAACAAGCTCCTTGCAACTGGAAATAATAAAATAACATGGTATATCACTTGGCATTGATTGACATGTTTTATTTTTGTATTGATATAGAAAAATGTTCCTCTGTGCGAGTTTTAAATATAAATTTCCATTGACAGAACATTCTGTATTATTATTGCTGCTGTTTCATCTGTCACATTTTCACTAAGCTTTGAAAAATTACCCTGTTCTGCCAGAGCTTTTTGGTGTCCTCTGTGCTGCTCTGGCAGCCAGTGCAGTTAGAAAGAGTTTCCCAAAAAGTAGGAGAGAAAGAATTTAATCTTCAGCATTTGGGATCTCTCAATAAGGAAATCACCATTAAGAGAGAGCACAGAAAACATACCACATAACTGCAATCTGGATTAGAGAATATATCCTCGGACATATTCAAAATAAGGCAACTGGAGGAAAAGCAACATAAGAGATGAACAGATTGGGGCTGTTTCAGAGCAAACATCTCCATCCCTTCCCTTCCCTTCAGCTCAAGCACTGGTGAGATGGCAAACAATTATTGCCTGAGAAGGCAAAGCATGGCTGGAATAACAAGCAGCAGTTTTTGCTCCAAAATCGTTTTCTTTGCCCAGCCCATGCAAATTAACACATTAAAACCCACCCAGTTGTTCTCGGTTTTAAATTCAAGTGCAAACTACTGGTCAAAGTCTCAATCAGATTTTAATTAATCAGTGAGTAATGGGAGAATTCATCTTTGCAAACCCCACAAATGTCTCACTGTGTGATTTTCAACACGACTTGATGTAGGGTAGTGGAAGAAACTAAAATTGGGAAGGAGAGTTGGGAGAGGTTTTCCCGATTTGCAGCCATTCAGAAGCAACTTCAGCTTGGGCAGGATTTGTGTCCTGGGACAGCCAGTGGGAGATGGCAGAGTCAGAGGAGGGCCCCAAAAATGTGGGATGGGTAGGGCTGAGGTAGAGAAGATGATGGAGAGGAGGAGGAGACACTGATGGAGAGGAGGAGGAGGAGGAAGAAGAGGGGGAGGAGGAGGAGCAGGACGAGAGGCTGACGGAGAAGGTTCATTCAGCCTGGAGAAGGGACAACTCCACTGGATTTAGGGATAGCTGCAGCCTTCCACTGCCTGCAGGGGTTTGGAGAGAACACACAACCACGCTCCTCTCAAAAGGGAAAAGGGAAAGGACAAGGAGCGACAGTCACGGGTTCGACTGAGCACATTTTCTGTTAGAAAAGTTCTTCCCAGTTGAAGTGACTGCCCTGGGACAGGCTGCCCCAAGAGCCCATGGATTCCCCACCCCTGGAGATCTTCAACCCCTGCCTGGACATGCCCTGAGCACCAGGGTCCCTCCCTGCACCCAGCCCTGCCTGCCCATGGGATGGGCTGACTCCTGAGGTCACTTCCAACCTTGAGCATTCCATGACTCTGGGCAAGTGCTGACAGCAGGAGACGTTCACAAAGAAAGGGAAAAATTAACTTGGTAATTGAGGAACCAGCCTCTCTTTATCTTCTCCAGCACATGAATAGCATTCAAAGGCCCTGGAAAACTTTTTCATGCAAAAATTAGCACACAGCCCAAGATACCAATCTATTTTAGAGGACAACTCTCTGCTGTTTCTCTTTAGATTTTTTCTTTTATTTATTCTCCAAAGACATCTTTGGCTTCAGAGAAAAGATGGGAATTTAATTTTTGTCAAAAGGCAACAACAAAAGGAACCATTTATAGTAGAAAGCTCTGCTTGGCTTTGAAGTATTCAGTTCAAATAGGTGCCTGTTAAAAGGACATTTTCTGGCCCAATGTATAGTAAAGTCCATTTCAAATCCATCACAACTTGCATTAAAAATTTGAATGAAAGTGTTAAAATGTGTGTGTTAAAGACAAAAACTTGACAAAACTACATTTCTTGGTTCTCAAGCAAACTTTAGCCCAGGAGATCAAAAACCTTTTGTGTCAGTCAACCCAACCTGGCCTTGGCCACTTCCAGGGATCCAGGGGCAGCCACACAGCTTCTCTGGGCAACCTGTGCCAGGGCCTCCCCACCCTCACAGGGAAGAGTTTCTTCCAATATCCCATCTAACTCTGCCCCCTGGCAGTGGGAAGCCATTCCCCCTTGTCTCGTCCCTCCATCCCTTGTCCCAAGTCCCTCTCCAGCTCTCCTGGAGCCCCTTCAAGCCCTGGAAAGGGCTCTCAGGACTCCCTGGAGCCTTCTCTTCTCCAGGTGAACCCCCCAGCTCTCCAGAGGGGCTCCAGCCCTCTGGGACCTCAGTGGCCTCCTCTGCACTTGCTCCAACAGCTCCATGTCCTTCCTGTGCTGAGGACAGGCTCTTCCTGGCTGCTACTACTTTTCACCAACTCTTTTTTTAAGGAATTCAGGTCCTCTGAATTACACCTGTGTTGAATATCTCAGTGACCTGTGCAGAGCCACACAATGACTCTTAGAGAATTACAAGTGGTTGCTGAGTTTCATCCTCTTCTGCTACATATTGGACTATCCACCTGTCACTTAAAAAAAAATGGGGATGGAAATGTCTCTCCTAGTTTCATTCTCATCCCACCAACACCGTAAATCGTCCAGGCTTGAGGAGAAGGAGGGAGAAATTCAGGCTCAGGCAGTTTTCACAAAATCTATATCACAGCCCGGAGGATTTTTGCTTTCTAGCCAGCCAGGAGGGATGTAACAAGCTCCATCACAATAAAGATTTTATGATTTGCCTTCTCTATCTGTTTTCAAGCATGAAATCACCTTGTTGGGCAAACACGAGCAAGAACTGTGACTATCTGTAAAATCAGGCTATTACCACATCCCTCTGCCTCGTGCAGGGCTCGGGAGCCTTTATGTTAAAGCACTTCTGAAACAGCGAAGACAGAGGCAAGAACAGCTTATTTTGGTCACTGTAATCTGATTAGAAACGCTGCCCACTCCTATATTTGCAGCAACAGAAAAACAACAGCAGCTTTTCCACTGGGCAGCAGCTGATCCCTGAGTCACTGTGGGACGAGGGCACACAGCCTTTCCCTCAGCACCACTGGGAGACACTTGGCTGCCGTGGAGTCAGACAACACCCACCCTCTCCCCTGCTCCAGACAGATCCCAATCCACGCCAGCAGGGCTCAGGGGGGCCATACCTGGTTCTCGTCCTGCACCTCCATGCTGTACTGGGGCCCTGGCTGAACCTCCGTGACTTTCTCTCCGAGGAGGAAGCCCAGGCGAGTCATGAGTGTGTTTGCTGCCTCATCTACGGATGGAGGGGGTCCCAGCTCCTGCTCAGCGTCACCTAAACGGGAAGAAAAACCAGGTTCAGACAGGAATTGTTTACCTTGGCTGCTGCTCGGGGGTTTTGCCAACGCGACGCCGCCACCTCTTCCCGCTGCGCCCGCGGGATCCGGGTTTTCAGGTTATTCGTGTTGTTCAGGCCTGTTTTACCATTCTGTGCTGGTCATTCATTTTAGGCCGTGCATTGTCAATATGTGTTTTTTCCAATGGTTAGCTGTAGTTCCTCCTCTCATTATTTGTTATTATCTCCCATGGAAGCAAACCCAGGCATCCTGCTGTCCCACAGCACAGCCACTGGAGGACGGGAATGTCTGGAGAAAGGAGAGCATTTGCCCTCCTCCCTCACACAGGAACTGCCTACAAGTTACTCACAGAGAAGGCCAAGGCTACAGGTGCTGTTTGGAAAGGATTCCATGAGCTGCAGAGCAGCCAACCTGTGCTTCTGAGTGGTCAAGAGGAAAGATCAGGACAGAAAATCCATGTGCACCTTCCACTGTCACCTGCTGTCCCCAAACTTGCTCGTGGTTATAGAGAAATCAAGCCTCTCCAGACACCAACCCACCTTCTGCACTCACCCTGTGGGCCACAACTCAAAGTCCACCTGCCAATTTCCCATCAAGGCTATAAAACAGACCAAAACCAATGTTCTAGATAATTGTTCCTGATTTTTTCCCACCACCTGAAGGAAAAGTGGCACAGAAAAGCTCCCAGCCAGCAATGCACACCAGGAAAAGGCCAGGCATGGATACTGGCACTTCTGCATCCATTTGACTTTATAACAAAAATCCTTGGAGGTTTTTAACTTGCATTATCACACATAAGTTGGGTTCTGAAAGTCAAGTTCACATCACACCAGCATCAGGGTCAACCCTGAAGGTCAAGTTCTTGCCACGTTACACTGAAGCAATACTGTGCTTAGTGCAGTTGCAGGAGACTAATTAGGATTTGCAATTAGCCTACAGTTAATTATTCATCTGATAATGTACAATCTGGAAAAGAGCCCGTCTCCATTTCCCAGCTCTGTCCTGGTTTGGGCTGCAGCTCCAGTAAAAGGATGTTACCTTACATAAAATATTGCTTTTTGATAACTGTAACTGAAACCCACAGATCACAGAACGTGGGATATGTACAAAACCTCAGGAAATTTAAGCCAGTTGCTTCCAGAAATCCCCATTTACTCCCACAGTGTACAGCTCAAGCAAGTTTACAGCGATTTTCTGGTGTCTCACTGCTGCAAATTAAAAACCCCAGAGCATCTCCCGTGCAACCACGGGCTGTGTTCCTCCAGCACCAGCTCTGGGAGCCGAGCATCTGGAACAGTCCTTCCACGGTGGCTTCACTGTTATGAAAATGGATGATACAGTAGGATCACAGGAGCCTTCCTTTAAGTTATTGAATCCCCACTGTACTGCTGGAACCGACGCTGACGTGAATCCCATAGATTTAAGAGAGACAAATTTAGATGGATGGCCCAATTTGCTGAACTGCTGACCACCCACAGTCAGTCTGGGGGCATTTACTGTCTCTGGGAGCCCAAGCCAGAACAGAGGCACTTACGTAAAATGAAAATTACAGAGACTTTTGTTTCCAAGGTTATTTTTTTTTTCCTTGCAAAAGGAAGACTTTCAGACTTTACCCTGAATAGCTGTACCCAGGATATGGAGGTTCTGAATCATTACAAGTTTACTGTTCTGCCTTCAGGACCAGGGTATTAATAATACTCAAACAGTGCTGGTTACACATCTGGGCAGAAAGGAACAGCTGGATCTACCTCTGCACTGCCCACCTGGGAGGATTTGGGAGTGCCCAGGTGATGCTTGGGCACTGCAGGGCACTGGGCACAGCCAGTTTCCTTCAGCTCAGTGTTGGGAACTACTCCCAAACCAAACTCACTCCTTGGAGGTTGAGTTTAAACTTGTCCTTCTTTTTTGTTTTACTGCCCCTAAGAAATCCCCACCAGGCACAAAACTGGCTTTCACCTGCAAAATAAAGAAAATTTCAAGCTTATCCAGGTCACTGCATTGGACCATGGAAGATACGGAGGATAATAACTGTCTGCTTTGATGAGAGTCCTCATGGCAGGGGGTAGAACCACAACATCTCTGAGGTCCCCTCAACCCAAACCATTCTGTGATTGCAATTCAGAGAATCATGGAAAGGTCTGGGTTGGAAAAACCATCAATTCCCACCCCCTGCCATGGCAGGGACACCTTCCACCAGCCCAGGTTGCTCCAAGCCCCGTCCAGCCTGGCCTTGGACACTTCCAGGGATCCAGAGGCAGCCACAGCTTCTCTGGGCAACCTGTGCCAGGGCCCCCCCACCCTCACAGGGAGGAATTCCTTCCCAGTATCCCATCTAACCCTGCCCTCCTTCAGCTTAAGGCCATTCACCCCGTGGAGTGTCCCATCACTCCACGCTCACTACCTGTGAGATGCTGCTCATGGCTCAGGGTATCAACAGCTTGAGCTCTGAGAGCTCCACATTCCATGCAGAACTATCAATTATTTTATTATAACCTGGCTTTCAAAGTACAGATCACTTTGAACATAAGCAAAGCTCCACTGTACTGGATTATTCCCTCCTTAGGTCTTAAAAAACACGTGCAGTTGTTTAACTGAGTGTCAAAGAAGAGACAGCACAGCTCTGAGGTGCCTTGAATGGGTATTATGGAAAGAAGCTGTAAGTTGCCTTTCAGGGCTGACAGTAAGACCTAATACTCTCTTCCTAAGTTCAAGGAAAGGGTAGAAGTTGTTTTTTCTCCCCTCCCACGTGTGCCATCCAGTCGGTGCTGCAGCCACATTTTACACTCGCCTCAGCACACTCGGTTCCTGCAGCCTCACCAGGGAAATCTGAGCACAGAGCTGATAACTGAACTGGCCTGAGGTATTTTTAGCTTCTCTGACACCACTGCTGTAACAGCTACAGCAGCTCAAACACACCCCCCAGCCAAATCCAGCAAGCAACCTCTGGTACATCCACAACCAGTAACACCCTGCCCAGCTGGGCATGTGAAAACCCCAAATCCATCAGTGCATCCAACATGCTCACCATGGTCTGGAGCTGCTGCACCAGCTCATGTGCCTCTGCATCAACAGTCAGTAACACTAAAAGCACTAAAAGCTCAGTGCCAGGAATTTTAAAGAAGAATAAAAAAACCCTCCCTGACTCATTGCACGTGCACGAGGCTTTTTAAGAGTTCTGTGTAACTTGCTGTCCCTTTATGTTCAGCACAAAGCTTATAATTTTATATAAACACACATAAAACTACGGGAGGAAAAGGGTTCTTGGGAGCTGATGTGCTGCTGTGCTGGGAGATGACTCAAACCCACCCACCCACCCAGCCAGGTCTCTGTCAGCTCCCCGTGGCCATCAGAGCACAGAACTTGGGCTTTCATGGCAGCTGACAGCGTTCCTTAGCTGTTCCTGTCGTTTGTGCTCAGGGAATTGTGCTCAGGGACTCTCTCCCACCATTCCACAGCCAGGTAAGTGCCACATCCCATCTCCAAGTCAGCTGCATTTGCCTGTCCAGGTCTTCCAAGCGCTTCAGAGCAGACAAGTCTTGAACACATTCCTAAATCGTGGTAACTCCTACTCAGCAACTTCACCGTGGCAGGGAAGGCTGAGTTCAGTTCTTAATGAAAACAAGGGAAATGATTCTTCTATAGGAGGGGAAAAAAAAAAAAGGCAATTCTTTGGTTTCCACGATGGAATTTGGGATTAACCCAAATGGTTCTGGGGTGCTTTGGTTTGTTGCCCAGGAAAGCAGAGCTGGGGCTCACCAGAGACTGATGGAGCCCAGCTGGGCTGTCAGGGAGAGATTTAAGGAGAATACTCTCTGCAGGGAAACGCCCATGGAATGGGCACAGCAGTGACCCAGCCTGGCACCCACCAGGAACCAGCCTGGCTCTGAGGGGAACCACAGAACGCTTTGGGTTGGAAGGGACCTTCAGTCAGAGTAATGGAGCCACATTTATGTTGGATTTTCCATTGCTTTTCCACCACCATGAAGATGAGACTTCTCCTAAGGGAGCACTGGGCACAGGAGCCTGAGGGGCTGGTTTGGAATTCCCTCCCTTCCCTGGCTCTGTGCTGGGAACGGGAAGCTCCTGCCCTCCTGATTTTCCCTTCTGTGTGTCCCGCTCTGGATCACTCCAGGCACGGAGCAGTGTTACATCTGCAGGCTCTGAGCTCCTGTTCCCAGTATTCTAATGCTCTGGGAGATAAAAATGCCAAATAACCTAAACACAGGCAGTATTTTATTCTAAAAGGACATCCCGTTTCACGTCTCTTTGAGAGCTTTTATTTATTTCTGCCATATAATCCTACAGTTACCTGCTTTTTCCAAAGATTAAGGATTAAGAGAAGTATCCTTTAACACCATTTCTACCAACTACCAAAAATTCAGTTGCATATTTCATATAATCTTTTATTATTATCTTTCACTCTTTAGAGGATACCTTTCATTTCTGTACAGTTCACTAAGAAAGACTCTGAATGTCTTATTTTTGCATTCTTTCGCTTTTGCAGTGCAAAGGAGGGCTGGTTGCTTACATTTTTCTTACCAAAAAATAATAAATAATCCCTGTACTCCTTGGACAAATTACCTCTGCTTCTAAGCAGGCTGCAGGCTTTGGAGACTAATCTGTCTTGGAGCTGTTCATGGATTTTTATTTATGTCATTAGAAATAAGCAATTCCCTGCAATGTGTTTGTGCTCTGCACAGGCTGGGTCTGTGATGAAAGTCCTTGGACCGGTGGCCAACAGCTCGTAAATCTCTGACTTCAGTACCTGAAATGCTGACTCCAGGCTTGGAGCACTTGGCCTTCCAATTAAACACAGCCAATTCCAAGTGGGGAAAAGTTTCCCTATTAAATGATTGGGGAATCATTTTTAGTAACGTTTAAAAAAGGCATTTTTCGTGTGGGGTCAGTAAATGTAACAGTGGGTGCAAAGGGGACACCAATGGAAGAGGGTTTTAAAGGTGATTATAGACAAGGTGAG